GGGTCTGAATCTATGTATAGCATGGGGGGGTCGTTAGGCGCCCCCCCCTAGAAAAAGGCCTTAGAGAATATTTATAAGGTTGAAATGCATGTTCATAGCCCAATTTTTCAAGGCCAGTCCAAAGAAAAAAAAATTTCCACCTTTTTCTGAGCACCTCAATCCTATTTTATGGCTTGATATGATTTAAGTTCAGCTACAGGGTGTCCCACGAAACATGACAGTTGCTGAATAGTTTAATATCAAACAACTTAACTAATTATGGAAGAAGACATTTCTTCCATAATTAGTTAAGTTGTTTGAAATTAAAGAGAATGATAAAAAATATTGTGTGCCTTTATATTATTGTAAAATTGATTTCAAAGTAAAATATATTTTAACGAAATGACATGCAAAAAGTCTTTAATATCCAATACAATATATGGAAGAAGACATTCAAAACTACTCGACCGCTGTCATGTTTCGTGGGACACCCTGTAGTTATCTTAATACATTAATGTCAGAAACCAAAAAAAATATAAGATGACCCAAACCACTACTTACAGCCTTAAAAGGACCAGGCGTTACCGTACAAAGTGGGACCGGAAAGGTTGACCCGGCTCGGAAATTAAAATGTACTACGGGTGCCCGTGTACAGCCTTAAAGGGACCGTATCCACAGTTTATAAAGTTCCATTTTGACTTTTGTGAAAGCAAAAATGATAAAGATATCTATGTTTTTTATTTGAAAATTAATAATTTTCTATTGAGGGTTATCAAGAGAATTAAATAACGAATTTATATAGCTGATACAAGCTGAAGGGTATTGACAGAGTTTTATTTTCAAGATGGAATATAAGGTTTACAGGGTACCTTTATGATTCGGACGTGCCCCTCTTTTTAACTGAAGGTCATTTGAAATTACCTTTACAGTCCCTTTAATAAAAAAAATAGCAAATCACATTATTGATATCGCTGGTGAATGTTTCAACCATATTTCTAGGTTCTACCCTTCGCTCTCTAAAGAACAAACTGTAAACCCAAGTGTTCAAGTGTAAACGAAGCATATGGTTTGGAAATAGAACATGTATTTACCAAACTCATGAAATCAATCAGTTACAGGATAAAAACAAAACAACGTGCCAAACAATTTGTATATTGCCCAAACAACGTGCCTAACAATTTGAATATTGGCCAAACAACGTGCCTAACAATTTGAATATTGTCCAAACAACGTGCCTAACAATTTGAATATTTTCCAAACAACGTGCCTAACAATTTGAATATTGCCCAAACAACGTGCCTAACAATTTGAATATGGCCCAAACAACGTGCCTAAAAATTTGAATATTGCCCAAACAACGTGACTAACAATTTGAATATGGCCCAAACAACGTGCCTAACAATTTGAATATTGCCCAAACAACGTGCCTAACAATTTGAATGTGGCCCAAAAAACGTGCCAAATAATATGTTACCATACCAAACAACTCGTCAAAATTCTACTAAAAAAACTTGCCAAACAATCTACTTACAAACCAAACAACTTGTAAAACAATCTACCAACAAACCAAACAACTTGCCAAACAGCCTGCTAACAAAACCAACCAAGCCGTCCAATGTACAATAAAAAACTATTATAAAAATTTCAAATTATCATTCAAAAATTGATATAGTTTTTACAAACTTTACAATTTAACTTTTATAAATGATATTCTTTCTTCATTTAACATTTAACAAAGGAGTTAATTGGAATGGGAGATGATGTATGATAGAGAGAGGGGTCATAGAAAGGGGTGGTATGATAGAGAGGGAAGGGGGTTTATTGTAAGGGGGAAATTGTGAAAAAGTGAACAAGACAAATTTAAAAGAAAACCAAAGAATGTAAAAAAGAAGTTAAAAGAAAAAAACAAGTATAAAAAAAAAATTGAAATGAAAATACTACAGGAGGAAAAAACAAAAATGGAGAACATGAAGAGAAAAATTAAAAAAGAAAGTATCGGAGGAAAAAAATAATAGAAAAAGAGCATATATAGATATAAGGATAGGGAAAAAGAAAGAGCATATATTAAGGATAGGGAAAAAACGTTGGAGTATGAGAATAAGAAAGAGTTTTATTAAAGAAGGGATAAGAGAACAAATTATTTAACATTTATAGTTGAAAATATCAAGAAATTGAAAAGGCATATGGGCGGGGGGTGGGAGAAAAGTAAGGATGTTTGGGGGGTCAGATAAAGATTGAGGGGAAGGGGGGGGGGGGGTGGAAGGAAGACGTATGAAGTGGAAGGAAGGTGTAATATTTCAAGAGGGATCGAGAACTTAAGACCTATGGAGGTGGACTGGCGAAGAAAGGGGAAAGAGGAGAGGGGACGGGGGGTGTTAGGGGTGTTTGAAAGTGGGGGTTAAGGTGTGAGGCGCATAAATGAATGCCTTAATGCCTGAAGACCCACCAAGAAGTGTCAACAAAAAATGTCCACTCAAATAACAATTTAGCCAAAAAAAACAGCATCCTTTTGTATCAATATTCATATAAAACATCCCCCCAACCTTGAAAACGACACCAAGCATAATCAGAACAGAAAGGGGTCAAAAGTTTCGTCAAATTTGGATTTGGTTGACTTAAAGCGACATATGCTTTGTAAATATGAACTATAAGGAAGGGCTTCAAGAAAGATAAAGGGGGGAGGGGGGGGGGGTGAATGGAAGGGGGGTGATTTTTATTGTTTTCAAAAATGTCGGACAAATTGTAAAGCACAGGGCTTGAGTGCTTTAATCGTGTTAAAAACGTGCTCCGAGCGCTTTAAATGATTTCCCAGGGCGCTTAATCATTCATCAACAAACAACAACAGTTAACTATAGAACAGGTTGGATTGTGCATTCATTAAATTATTCAATCTTGGTTTTTCTTAATTTTTCCTTTCTTTATAATCTATTATTTTCTTTCATCCTTTTCTTTTTTCCTTTTTCATCTATCTATAAATTTAGGTTGTCTGTTTGTTTGTATCCAATAAACGTCAAAACGGCTGAACCGATCGGGCCCAAATTTTTTGTAGGACATCATGTGACCCCAGGGAAGGTTTATGAAAGATCAAAATTTAAAAAATTTGTGTTTAAAAGGTTTTTATTTTTGTAAAAAATTTAAATTCTTGAAAATCCGCGAATTTATTTTTAAAAATCCGCAAATTTTTTTTCTTCTTTGTTTTAAAATGTAAACAAAAAGAACATGTTTATAATTTAAATAGAAGATGGGCGCGAAGGGCCCTAAAAGCCTATTATCTATATATAACTTTAGCTTGTCTTGGTGTTTTTCTGTTTGTTTGTATCCAATAAACGTCAAAACGGCTAAACTTATCGGGTCCAAATTTGGGGTGGGACCTCACTTGACCCCAGGGAAGGTTTATGAATGATCAAAATTTTAAAAATTTGAGTTTAAAAGTTTTTTATTTTTGTAAAATTTTGAAAAAATAGTATGAAATCCGAAAACTTTTTTTGTTTTTGTTTTATACTGTACAAAGAGAAGATGCTCACAGATAAAGCCACAATTAAAAGTTGAAATAGAAGATGGGCGCGAAGCGCCCTGAAAGCCTAGTGCTTTAAACCTCGAATCTCCAATAGTAAATTAGTTAAAAAAGGTTAAATATAAATTTATAGTTAATCAAAATCTTTTTAACCTTTGAAAAAACTTTTGTAACATCACATATTCTTGTTTATGCATGGCGAACATTTTCAAAGTTAATAAACTATAAAAACAGTCAATTTGAAATTAATATGAATTATTAAGTAGGAATTTAACTATTTTATTGCGTTAATTTGCAAAGGAATTGAGTCTTTGACACAAACTTTGATTGTCTATTCCTTATATCTTTGCAACCCAATGTAGTAGACCTTATATATTTCAAACTATGAATTTTATTAGATCAAATAGTCTAAGTTAGACATTATGAATGTGCACACTATCAGGTTGCAAAGATATAAGGATTAAAAAAATCTGATTTTGTGACAATTGAGGTCTACGTCTTCAGGTTGTTAAGATGTAAGAATTTGAGGTTGAATGGTGATCAAATTTCTCCTCTTTTATATAGAATAACTTCGCCATTAAAAGGAATTTAAAATCAAATAATAGTGAATCAGATGGAGGAGCATGGGGCCTCTTACTCAGTCAGTCAGTTTCTTAAACTTAAAGAAACTTATATTTAAGATGTTATAAACCCGATCTAACTTTAAAGGAAAAAAGTCTGCTCTTTAAACAAATACAAATGCGTAAAAACATATTTCATGTTTTTTTGTCAGTTTTCTATACTATATAATATATATCTAAAATACTGTAACTATCTAGTTTTAGCATCTCGGGCTATGTCACGTTATTATTGCGTATATATGTTGTTTACGCAATAAAAGCGTACGAGAGGCGTTACGCAAGCTGTTTAGGAACTATCCGCGATAATTGACACATTATCTTTAATTAGATTTCAGTTTTACAACCAGAGGACCGATGTTTGACCCAAAAACTAAAGAGAGAAAATAATAAAAATGGCTTTTACTTAATTTTTTTTTTTGCAACATTCGGAACTATTTTTTCAATTGTTTTTAAAAATGAACGGGCAACGCCCGCGCACTTTAGCTGGTTTTTATATATGAATTTTTTTTATAATTATTGAAATTAAAAACCAAGAAAGGTTAAACAATGCCAAGAAAACATAGGATCTGGTGAACATATAAGGTCAAATTGAAATTATTAGTTTTACCATCTTTAAAATGAAAATCCAAAATATTTGTCAAGAAAACTCAAGAAACTTGAGGTATGAGTAGATAAAATGACAAAAATGACAGGATAAAAGATACAAT